ACACACAATGCGGAAAGAAGCATTAGAGAACATTGTAACAACAGGAAAGTTTGATGGAAAGAGAGGCAGAGGCAGACAGAGGGAAAAGATACTGGACAAGATGACAACATGGCTGGGAGCAGCAAGAACAACAGACACCATTGCTGCATCGAAAGACAGATGGAAGTGGAGGTCCATGATCGCCCACGCCAGTCGGCAAGGCACCGGATGATGATGATGTTCCTGATGAAGCCCGTTGAGGGCGAAACGTTGAACTTGTTATTAAATATTTTGGAAATATTACCAGGTCCTAACCGTTTAACTATCTGCTGTAACCAATAATGATGATGATAATGATGATGATGATGATGATGATGATGATGATGATGATGATGATGATGATGATGACACATTTTTAAGGTTGTGGTGCTGGTAGCCGTAATAACTCACGCTTTCCGAGAGACTCCATCTTTGCGGCAATGCTGACGGTCTCACCGAACAGACAATACCGGGGCATCTTAGAGCCGACTACTCCCGTCACCACAGGGCCTACACGCGTGAGATGAATGTAGGTTAGGATTGTAAAAGATTGTAAAAGATTGTGAAAGATTATTAAAGGTGAGTTTGTGAAGTGGTTTGTTAAGTTATTGGAGACCCCACGTCACCAATTGAGATGGTTGTAGGTTATGACTTTAAATATTGTTAACTGGTTGTTAAGCATTGTGAATTAATGTAGCACTCACCTCTCCCGTCATCACTGGTCCTAAACACGTAGTGAGAAGATTGTAGATTACGATTGAAAAAGATTGGGAACTGGTTGTTAAGCATTGTGAATTAATGTACCTCCCACCACTCCCGTCATAACGGGCCCCTCAAGCGTGAGATGATTGTAGGTTACGATAGTAAAAGATTGTAAAAGTTTATATAAAAAGTTGTGAATTGTTTTGTTTATCATTGTGCGTTATTGTAGACCCAACACTCCCGTGACCACGGGGCCTACACACGTGACAGGGATGATTGTAGGTTAGGATTGTAAAAGATTGTAAAAGGTTGTGAATTGGTTTGTTAGCCGTTTTGTACACCCCACATCACCACATGAGATGATTTAGGTTGTGACTTTAAAGATTGTTCATTGTTTTGTTAATCATTGTAAGTTAATGTACATCTCACCGCTTCCATTGTAGGAGATGATTGTAAGTTAGGATTGTAAAAGATTGTAAAAGAATGTGAATTGATTGTTAATCATTGTGCGTTATTGTAGATCCAACGTCACCATGGGGCCTACACACATGAGATAATTGTAGGTTATGATTGTAAAAGATTGTAAAAGATTGTAAATTGGTTTTATTGTAGATCCCACCATTCCGGTCATCAAAGATCCTATTCACATGAGATAATTGTAGGTTATGATTTAAAAGATTACGATTTGGTTTGTTAGTCATTGTAAGTTAATGTACATCTCACCTCTTCCATCATATGAGATGATTGTAGATTATGATAGTAAAAAGAATGTAGATTAGTTTCTTAATCATTGTACGTTATTGTAGATCTCACGTCACCTCATGTGCTGATTGTGGTTTATGATTGTAAAAGATTGTAAATTGGTTGATAATCATTGTAAGTTAATGTAGATCCCATTAATCCCGTTACCACGGGGCCTATACACACGAGATGATTGTAGATTATGATTGTAAAAGATTGTGAATTGGTTAATTAATCATTGTAAGTTAATGTACATCTCACCACTTCCAATATAGGAGATGATTGTAGGCTATGATTTTTAAAGATTGTAAATTGAATTTTTCATCATTATTAGTTGGTGTAAATCCCACATCACGACATGTTATGACTGTAAGTTAGGATTGTAAAAGAATGTAAATAGGTTTATTACTCATTGTAAGTTAACGTAGATCCCACTAGTCCCGTTACCAAGAGGCGTATACACACGAGATGATTGTAGATTATGATTGTAAAAGATTCGTTTAGTGTAGTTCCCACATCACGACATGTAATGACTGTAAGTTATGATAGTAAAAGACTGTAAATTGGTTTATTAACTATTGTAAGTTAACGTAGGCCCCACAAGTCCCGTTACCAGGGGGGGGTGGGGGGGGGGCTTTTCACACGAGATGATGGTAGATTATGATTGTAAAAGATTGGGAACTGGTTTGTTAATCATAACAAATTATTGTGGTTGGCGGTTGTAGTAGATCGGACATGTTTGTAAATGTGTGCAGAACACATCAATCTTATCAGCGCAGTGTCTGTAGAAATGGAAAGATAGTAAATTATGCTTATTGAAAATGGTTCCTTATGATTGTAAATGATTGCCATTATAGTTGATTCTAAATGATAATCATAAAACAAAATGTAACTGATTGTAAAAAAAAATTCCAGAAAAGTGTAGCATCCCCAAGTCTCGTCGGCAACAGGCTTGCAGAGATGAGATGATTGTTAATGATTGAAAAATATGATTGCTTTGGATTCTGACCGTCTAAGAAAGATTGTAATTAGTCGCAAAACGTTTTTAACAATCATTAAAGGTTGCAGCTGGTTAAAACAAATTGTAAATTATAATAAATGGCTGTAAAGGTTTGTGAACAGTCATGCATGGCTGCAAAAGGTCGTGAATGACTATAAAAATGATTTTTTATTGACTGTAAATGGTTGTAGAAAAATTAAAGATCGTATTTTAAAAAAAAGAAGTAAAATAAAGGATAGTGACAGTTTGTTAAACTGTTGTGAATATTTGTGAATGATTGTGAATGATTGTAAATTACTGTTACCAATTGTTAACGGCGGAAACTGACTTCAGCTTCAATTTGGTAAACGTTTTACGGCGCTCGCAACCAACTGCATACTACGGTCAATGAGCCAGCTAAACTGACTAGATCTATATTATAAACGATTGACCAAGACTGACCACTATGGCATCCAATCCTGAGTTTGAACTTGGTGCCAGGGAGGTGAGGTATCTCCAGGCGACGGATACAGTCCAGGAGGTCCAGGGCCATTGTGCCGATCTCTGCAGCATGACGCTTGCCATTCTTTTTGGGGACACCTGGGAGAAGCCAGTGGGTGGTCAGAATAGTCATGGATTGTGAAGGTGGGGGAGGGGAGGAGGTGTCAGAATAGTCATTGATTGTGAA